CCATAGCAACATGTTATGGTCTGTGACCCCACCCTCCTCACTTTTCTGGGTTCATCTCTCCAGATAGAAACACTTTGGATGCCTTTCCCAATATCTTTTGTGATTTATATATTTCTACATATTTATATATGCTGGGGTTTTTTTTTGGTACCGAGGATCGAACTTGGGACCTTGCACTTGTGAGGCAGGCAGCAGAGCCACTGAGCTAAATTCCTGGCCCCTATGCTGTTATATTTTCTTATATTGATCTTAGATGTCATTTATAGATGTATTAAATTTGCTCTTTCATTATCACACTGCCATTTTCTTTTGCTTTCCATTGACCATATTTGGGATTGTTAATTAAATTAATATTCAGTGCTTAATTATGGTACTATTCATGGTGAAATATTATTGTGTAGTGTAACTATATCTCACTTCTCCCTTTTTTCTTTCCTGTAGGCAATAATTTCTTCTTTTATTCCATCTCCTTGAATTGCTTTGTAGTTGCTGACAATTCTTCCTGCCTTTTTCCTCTAGGTTAGGTGCACAGTTACATTCTGGAACTTCCCTTTCTTGTCCTTCTTGAAGTTCCCCCTTGCTTTTCTCTTGGTGAGACTTATAGTTTCCTAGGTCCCTTTCTCTTCTGTTGGTGAGGGAGAATTCCATCCTCAGTGCCCTTAGATCTTTCTTGGCGAGGCTGAATAGAGCACTCCTGACTGGCCCAGCCATTTCTCAAGCTTTCTGAGGGCTTTATGATGTGAGTCTGAGAATTTCTTTGCTTTTCCATTGTTGGCTTGGAAGGATTTTCTCTGGACAGCTAAGTCCTAACATTTGCCTATCTGAATCCACTGTGTAAGATTTTGTTGTTACTATATTTTCTCTCATTTTTTCTTTGTATATGGTTGTCTACTGCTACTGGTGTAATTATTATTTAATCTTTATCCAATTTTAGTGGGGTCTTAGGAAGGAATAAAACTAGATGGATACATTCAGTTACCCAAATAACCTTTACCCTCAAATTTCTAGCTAGATTGAACACAAAATTAGGGTGGGGGGGTCAAACAGAATTTGTCACAAAATATTTATCAGAATATGAAGAATTATTTTGCCAAATTTGTCTCTAAAATTAGGAGATAATAAGTAAGTTAGAGGGAATCTTTTCCACCTAAAATAATTTCCTCCCTTTTCTTTTTTTAAAGTTACTTTTTGATAGTAGAGAGGATGACTTCACTTCTGAGAAAGTTTGAAAAACAAAAATAAGTATACTTGTGTAAAATTATCATAGATTCTTTATTGTAACTTAGAAAAAGCTACTTTTGTACACAAAATATAGTTCTTTATCATTTGTATTTTGGTTTCTGATTTTAACTCACAAATTATTTATTTTATGATAATAAAAATATTTATTTACAAAGAAATTGTGTGTTCTATACTCACCTACCAAAGTTTTCCAAACTGGGAGTTCAGGAATGTTTAATTCTATTATATGCTTAAGTACCTCTGTGTGAAAGGTTAGCACTGACAAATGAATTATATTGTTTCCTTTAGTGTCTGTTTTTCTCCAGTTAGCCCCAAGAGAAAATAGGTATAGAATAGTGTCCAGAACTCCTGAAGTGGTGGCAAGTAACAGTGGAGTACACTGGTTCCTAAAAATTAAGGAATGCATTATAATACCACTTGAGTACACACAGAGTGTCAACTTGACTTTTTGTTAAGCCATTCGAAGTACTGTTGTAGGAAATGTGATTGATACCATCACCGCCTCTTCCTTAGGATCACCCTCTGTATTTCACGTGTAACACATTCGCCTCCCTTGCCTGGCTGTGTAAGTCCCTCTGCTCCTTTTTGACTTGATTGTCAAGCCTTTTAATTTCTTTGGAAGTTGATAATGTACAAAACTCTTAGAATATACTGTCCCGACGAATCCTTATCACCACTCTGAATCAAGTAAAAAGCAAGGCAAGTATGAACCCATTTCACAAATGGTGAAACTGGGGCTCAGGTAGCGGTCAAACCTATCCCCTCATACTTCATTTCCAATTTTCAAATCCCAGATTCCTCACTGTTGTAGAAACTAAGAGTGTTTTGAGATACTGAAGATCTTTTGGCATCCAGCCCAATGTTACATTTCCCAATCTCTCTCATAGACAGGTATGGCCACACAACCAAACTTGGCCAGTATGTTAGTGGACATTACATGGGCAACTGCCTAAAGAGAATGGAGAGTTTCAATACTTTCTTTTGCAATCTCCAGTCATGATAATAAAAGGAGGAGTTGCTTTTGTACCATGGTATGGAAGCCATGTTAAGGACTAGCTAGAGAAAGTCAGCATACTGGAACTGTCAAACAATTATACTAGCCCTAGACCACTGAATAATATTTGAAGACATAGAAAAACCTGCAAGAAACTCCACCACAATCAGATTCAGATGTTCAAAAGACTAACATGTGTGCTTTAGATTCCTAGACAAGAATGTACCTTTAAAAGAAGTTATACCTCTACCCCAAAGGTTGGTCCTCACTTAAATTGTGCAATAAAAGATGTTGAGGGACACTTTCTTATTTCAAAATTTTCTCTTTTTGCATTTCTCTTTCAGATACCATTAGATATTTATTCTGTGATACAAGCCCCATCCACTCTGGACCCCTAGCGCTAACTCATGGCTGTATAGGGTTCAGTGTAGAGCAACTTTCTATTCCCTAATCTTAGGCTTCTTCCTAGGCACTAAGTAGTTAACCTGACCAACTATCCTGTGGAACCATATTACTGGGACAAATTTAGGAAAAACTCCCAACAGCTCACTGCTGATTCTTCTAGAAAACATGCATAGATTGATGGAAGCTTTTGTTTTGATAAATTGTAAAGTTATGTGGTAGGAAAAGTCAGTAACCAGAAAGGACATCAAGTCACCCGTATCAAAAGCTTGTCTGCGTTTTTCAGTGTGACTGTGTAGGGAAAGCCATGAATGTAGAAACTTGTATCCTTATAAATGCCTAATAACTTACTCAGCGGTTGCCTCCTCTTCTAGCAAACTAGGATCCTTCCTGTAGAGAACAATGATGATGCAGATATTATCACAGAAAGCGGCAAAGTGGATCGGTATCCAGCCTCTTTTTTCAGAAAGTGTGTAATCAGCTTTGAAAGAAAGTAGGCAGATGGTGCTCTCCAATGAGCAAGCCTGTGTGGCCAGGTGGAGAGGTGTTGGACCTGGGATGGATGGATGATACTTCAGTGGTCAAAGAATGAACGCTCCTAAAAAACCATACCTTTTTGGCATCCAACCATAGAGCTTAGTGTTATACAATATAAAATCTCTAAGATAAGCACTAAAATAATGAATTAGGTAATCCTGTATGTCTTGAACTCAGGATGTCTGACCACGAAAATATCATACTTCTTTTAAGTGAATAAATATACATAACATGGAAAATGTTAAATATTTGGAAATTTAAGTGAATACATAAAATAGCTTTGTGATAAAATAAGCTATTCCATATCAAAATTATTTTCCATTTTATTCAAATATTTTGTGGTAGGAGATAAGATTGCTTAAAATTGATAAAAAATATATGTTCACAAAAGGCTTCTCTATCACTAAGTCCAGTGGGCATTTGAGAATTCTCATCTAACTTCTGAACAGTATCTTTATACTGTTGACCACTTGTTCCTATTTCAAATTGTTACTTCTCTTGACTTTTGTCATCTTACGCTCCCTATTTTTCTCCTTTGCAGTCTCCTTAGGGATCTTGTCCTGATGTCTAAAT